TCTCATTCTGATGCTTACTTTCTCTATATATTGAATTCAAGGCCTGAGCTTGATTTGCTTGTTTATTTCCAATTTCTACTGTATTTCTTTCAGCACTCGAGAAGCATCTAAAAGACCATGCTGGACGATATGCAACTGGAGATGAAGTCTTCTTGGTTTGTTTCTCTTGCTCTTGTTTGGGCACCCTTATAGTATTTTATGGAGTTCACAGTCAAGTTACATATACTTTCCCATAGGAAGTTTTCGCAAAATAGAGGTTGGCGTTTCACCGTTTCAGTCTTACATTCAACCAATTTGGTTTGTTAACCTTTCTCTCATGCGAAGTATGGTGTGGAGTCAGTATACACCCACTTTCCTTTTTTTTTTTTTTTTTTTTGTGGGGAGGTGGGGGGGTGTGGTGGTGTGGTGGGGGAGAAAGTCTACTATATCACCGTAATACCACGTCACTCGTATCCCTACCCAATCAAATACTGCCAGCTCATGTACAAAAATAATTTAAAATTGGGTTAATATTGATACTTTTTTTTTATGCAAATATTGATACTGAGAATGGCTGACGCCGTTACAAACTGCAATCCCCAATTCTTCACGCACTTTTCTTCCTCACCCTAACTTTTCAGTTCACCGATTTCGAAGCCACCAGTTCCACCCCGACCCCCATCACACCGTGGCAACCTCTTAGAGATAAATTGATACAAAATCAAACTCTCCTCCATTATTTTCACTTTCATCCTTGATTTTTTCATTAATGAAATGTGGATTAAAGGTATGACCCATTTTTTTAGTCTGCTTTAGTTTCACAAACAATAATATGAACTCAGTTCGTGAAATTAGTGTTGATTGACTTTTTAATACGATCTGTTGCAAATAAAACTAATTAAATTAGAGGTTGTAGTAAAATTTTCAATTTGACCTTCACAATTTTAAAATATAGACTCTGTAAATGCTTAAGATTCTAAAATAAGGTTTACAGGTAGTAAAATACCCAATTGGAGTGCAATGATTGATATTATACTGGGATTTGAGGTCAAAACCCAAATGGATTCTTCCCCCACTTGTAGAAACCTAGAGAGATATGGGGGTTGGTTTGGTCTTTTGGAAGATTTGATGGAGAGGGGAGGGGTCGGTGCTCTGATTTGTTTGTGTTCTGCAATAACAAAATGGGTCTATAAAACAAATCACAGAAAAGTCTAAGACAATTGATCATTTGTGCTTGTTGGCCTATCAAAAAAAAAAAAAAGTTTATGTTACGTCGATGTTGCCTACAAAAATTTCCTTCAAAATTTTTAGATTTTTCATTCATGTCGTGAGAATTTATAATCGGAGTCGAATTCTTGAGATCTTAGCGTGCTCTATGGAAAATAATTTTTTTTGTTTCTGTTTTGATCGAGGTGGAAGAGGAACAGAGGCAGCGAACGGAGTGAAGTGCAGGGAGAAAAGGGAGCACTGGAGAAGAGAGAACATAAAAGGTTAACGGTGTTAATAATTTTCTGGTTGCATGTGATGAGTTGGTTATGATTTGGCAAGAGGTGATTACCTGTCATTTTGTTATTGGACCGGGATACCACATCAGCTGGTATACACGGGACATAGTAGACTTTCTCGTGGTGGGGGGGAGGAGGTGGCGCTACACCTTGCTTCAGTTTTGTTCTCAAATCATGGGTCTAGATTTTCCAAGAAAATTGTCCAACCATTGTCAAAATGATAGGTTTTTGACATACCATTCAATATCGTTTTTGATATCAACACATCACCGTCTGAGTTTCATTCGGCGATTTTCTTTAAACTTCAGTCCTAATAGCTCTAGAGGACAAGAGATTTTGTGATAGCATTTAACCTGGTCTCAATGTGAGAAGTCTCAAACCTAACAGGCTAACTTTTGCGGGCTGATTTGTTTCTAGCACCACAGATTCATGGAGCGATTAAGAGGTTCAATATTGACATGGTAATGCTTGTTGCTTGAACTTCTCTGCCAGTTTTACACTTAATTGATGTTAGTTTGAATGTAAGTTACGCCATTAGGATGCAAATAATGACTTGTAGTTGCAGATATTTTTGATCTTGTCTCCTGTTTCTTCATCCTTTTGGGACAAACTTGTGCACTTGTAGAATATTTGGCTCCATTTTTAGTTTTGTAGTGTTACTACTTACTACTCTACTACTCCCATCTAGTTTTCCATTGATTCTGGTAAGGATGAGGAAGTCTGACTTTAGGTTTTACCTTTTGTTGCCTCTTCACTCTGGACAGCTTTAAAGTCTCTTTTCTTCTACCATCTTTTTGCAGTTTCAGTTCCCTCTCTTTTCTCGGTTGAATGATGCATACAGCGAGCTGCCGCCATTTCAAGATGCGATGCCAGAGAAGCAACCAGATGCTCCTCCACATCATTAGTCAGTTAACGTTGTCTTATTTTCAGCAACCGTATGGGATTCAATGGATCTTTTAAATAGGTGGAGATCCGAAGTAGGGCTGCAAAATTTTGTAGCTCTATGCAGAAACTTTATGGAAGTGATGGAATAAAGTTGTAAACTATATGAATAAACGTGCATCAAAAAAAAAAAAAAAACTATATGAATAAACGTAGTTTTTAAGAGCATATGGAATGTTTATCTATGATAATAAAGTACAACTTTTGTTCTAGTAATTTGAAAGTATGTATCTCTCAAGTCTTAATTGAGTAGGCTTAAGTTTTATATTAAATTTAAGTAATAATTTTTACCTGGTTCAACATCATAGAACATGTATAAGATTCAGTAGCTACCTTTGCATTGCAGATTGACTTTACGATTAATTAAAAGATTTTAGGGGTGTAAGTAGAGTGAATAAGATATCAAGTCCATTTTGAAAGCCATATAATATGGATATGCAACCGGATCAGATGGTGAGGTCAAGGGAGGGCAACCATTATTAAACATTAATGGAATGAAGTTAATAACACTGAGAATTGATTGGTGCAAGAAGAGCCCGTGGCTGCAATTGCAAACTGCGTTCTCAAGATTGGAATGGATCTTGTCTATTCAGCTTCACACAGTGGCAGCTCTACCTCCATGGCTCAACTTGTGCCTTGTTTCTATTTGGAAACTTCATCCACAACGTCTTGGTTTCAGTAAGAGGTAAGAAGGTGGGTCAAAACGAGGGCAGAGGGGAGGGGAGGGACTTTCCTTTGCAATTGCAAACAGTATTGTTTCTGGTTTCTGGAGGATGATTTTGTACAATTCAACCCGGAGCGATAGTACTTTTAAGAGATTGTTATTACTTTTACCTACGAGCTGATCGGACATTGAAAAGTATTAAAAATAATAATATAATTTATCATAAAATAATAATTTTAAAATATAAAAATCACAAAAATTTATATTAAATTAATTAGAATACATCATAATCTTAGTTAGATAAATCATCATAAAATAATAGTTTTAAAATATAAAAATCACAAAAATTTATATTAAATTAATTAGAATACATCATAATCTTAATTAGATAAATCAATTCATAGTAAAAATAATAAAACTTAAGTGGATTTAATTTTCTCTGTAAATTAGAAAATTTTGGAAAACATAATGTATATTTATTTATTTAATTTCACATAATGATATAGTGAGTTAATAGGTGAAAATAGATTTGATATAATTTAAGCATAAAAATCACAAAAATAATTGATGAAGCTATACATTGCAATTCTAATTGCTTAAATCAGTTAATAACAAAAATGATAAAACTTGAAATCATAATTATAAAGATAAAAATATCAAATAATAGATAAAAATAATTTACGAAAAAACAAAATATAATTTGAAAAAGTTGAAATTTTTAATCTTCTGTTATAGATAAATCCTTTATTTTGATCTCCAATTATATTCAAATGAGGGTTGCCACTAGCCTCCAAAGCTTTTCCATTCTAAGCGAAAGCCAAGGATGGACCAATATAATTTGTATTGCATTAGTGATGAGTAGATTTAATTTTTTACATAAATTAAAGAATTTCATAAAATATAATATATCTTTAAATTCACATAAAGATTTAGTGGATTAATAGATAAAGATAAGTTTTGTATAACTCAAGAAAATATATTGAATATGATAGTAAATCCTACTGTAACATAAGTAGTAATATCATGAGGGTATAATAATCTAAAATCTATATTAATTGGTTATGGTGAAGTCAATACTTTAGTACCTCATATCATATCTTTATTAACTTTATTTTAATTAATTTATTCAAATTAGGTTTTGTTTTTTCTTAGATTATTTTTATCTATTGTTTGATATTCTTATTTTTATAACTATAATTTCAAGTTTTATTACTTTTATTATAAATTGATTTAACCAATTAGGGTTACAAGATAGCCTAATTAATTCAACATAGATTTTTTTTTTTGTGATTTTTATATTTTTGTGATTTTTATATTTTTGTGATTGTTATTTCATAATGATAATATATTATTGTTCTTAATACTTTTTAATGTTTAATCACCTTTAAAATTGATACGGAGAGTATAATTGAGATCAAAATGAGATTTTATATCATAATTAAATAGATTTAATTTTTTATGTAAACTAAAGAAATTCACAAAACATAATATATTTTTATCTATTTAAATTCACTTAGAGATATAATGAATTAATAAATAAAAATAAATTTAGTATAATTTAAGAACGTATTTTGAATAACATAAAAAATCTCACTATTATTACATTAATGGTAACATTTAAAAAATATAATAATCTAAAATTTATATTAATTCAACTCATCTAGATATAAATAATATCAAATTAAAAATTTCACATTAATATATGTAAGTTTAATTCATCACCCGCTCATATTTTTTTTTTTTTAATGAGAGTTATGGAGTTTGGCATGGGTCTTTTCTTTTCATTTATTTACTACTGCGTTTGGGATTCCTCGGTTGATGAACTAGTACATTTTATTTCCACCTCAAGCTGACCTGCCTTCCTATTTTTGAGATACTATATACATGTATATATATATATATATATATATTTTCCCCC